ACCGACCGGCTTCGCTGCCGGCCTTTCTGCCTCCGAAACGTCGGGGAAACCGCGCCCCGGCCCAGCTCGAAATTGGGAAAATGCTACATCCGTCCTCAACGTCGCCAGCGTCAGGCATGGCTAAGCATATAATACGTGTTGAGTCTGTCTGCAAACGGTGGCGGAGCCCTGTCGGTTATGCTGTTTGTCTGCCCTGCGTTGCTAGAGCCGGAGGAGAAAAGAGAATTGCAGTAGGTGTTTCCGCACAGTGCCACAACGACAGAAGGACACCTGCTATTCTAATACCAGGTATCAGCTGGTCTATTGCTCTGAAACACTGGCAACAACCTGGCAGAAAAAGCGACGGAAGGAGGAAGGCCTTCCCCAAAGCTGCACGAGCCGCCCGTCGGCTGCTCACAAACCATGTGCATGCTGCTCTTTTTTGCAACTTGCATCTTCCTACCTTGGGTGACGTTAAGCTGTTTAGACACTCTGCAGCATAAATCCTCTATTTCTGTTTGTGACCCTCCTGTAGCAATTACCTACAATAACTTAAAAGCTCTTCTGTGAACACGAGATACACCTCGAGGCTCGCGGTCAGATCACTATAACCAGTATATACCCTTATTCACTGGGTACATGATGGCATGTGCCGGTACACTGCATGTTGGTGCATCCCTTTATGGAAGTGTATCATATTTATTACCTGCCAACGTCCTAATGCTATGTTGCCGTTAGTAACTCACTCAGGTAATGGTGATCAAATAAACTGCTTTATTATTTCCTCCTGGAAACTTCAAACACACTATCATTACACGTTTTTGGCATATGTTCACTGATCGTTATTTACTGGTTTTCATATATGTAGGCATGAATGCGTGCGCACGTGCACTTTCTACTGGACTGTGTTTAAATCACATACTGCTTTTGGCACACATGGGGCAGGTCACACGGGTTTTCCATTTCTTTGTTTTCCTCCTAGCCAGAGGATAGCAGATTTGGTTTTAATCAAACTATTTGCAGCCTTGAACTTTGTCCCCCTGGAAAATAGTGCCATTCATTTAAGGATTTCCCTCTGTCTAATAAACAGTAATGAATCACACCCTGCAATTCCCTTGTGATGTTATCTCAGTTTCACAGATGGGGAAAACAGAAACAAATTAAGGGGGCTGCACACATGGCAAGTCAGAGGCAGAGCCGGGAGAAGACCCCAGTAATCCTCGTACAATTCCCTGCTCTAATAACCCCGTAACGTTGCGTCCCAACCCACGCAGCTGCTCCGCCAGTGAGCGGGTGGCGGAGGGCAGCAGAGCTTTCCGGCTAGCTCCCGGAGCCCGAATTCGGCTCTTCCCTTTTACACACAATTGCAAATTCTGTGCGGTGAGGGAGGCTGCAGCTCTGCCAGCTTCCTGCGCTGAATTATTCCCGAGGATATCTACTTCTTTCTTTGTAAGCAGAGGATGCCTTTTCGCTCCGGAGGAGTACAGAAATAGCGGGACATGGGGAATGTGCCAGTCCCTAGTCGTACACCATGGTTTTACTGGCCTTCCCAAAGGAGAAGGCTGAACCCCTGGGAGAATCTCCTGTCCGTGCTCTGGCCAAAAAGGTCCGTTCCACGATGAACGCAGCATCCCCCGATGGCTGTAAAGAAAACCACATCTATTAATTACGTTGAAGAAGTGAGGACAGACAATTGCTTTACGCCTGGACTCTCTAAGTACAGCCGCTCGCTAGGAGCTTTAGTTTCACTACAGACAAACAGCATAAACCAACGCTCCCCGTCAGGCGACCGGCAGTTTGTCTGTCAGCCAGTGGTTTTGTGGCGCTGGCTGCGAGTCGTCGCTGCGAGTTTGCTGTTCTTAAAGCAGAGAACGAGCGCTGCGGAAAGGTGTTACGTACAGCCGCAACCCAAACCCCTTTTACACCCCATCTGCTATCTCACAGTATCTGGATACAAAACATCACAAGCTGACAAGTTTCATTTCAAATTTTCCTCCGCTTATAAAACACTGCTTCTTTTCGAACACAGAACCTGCGAGGGACAGCGTAGGGCTGAATCCAAGCTAGGAATTGCTCTGCCAGAGTAAAATACCAGTATTTCTACACTGGGAAAGTATTTGCAGCATCAGTCGAGCCTAAAAACATGTCTCAGCTGCCTACAGCTGCCAAAGTCCCTCAGCGAGATCGCGCTCAGCCGGTGCGGGTGCAAACGCCGAGGTGATGGTTGCGGCAGTTGCTCATCCGCCTGGACCACGCAGCTCGCGCTGGCGCCCGAGCCCCTAGCAGCTCCTGCGCCCGCTAGCCCGGAGGAACCTCGGGCCGGTCCGCGCGTGGCCGCGGTCACCCGTCTGACCTGCGGCGAACCGCAGCTGCAGAGTCAGGTCTCCGTGCCCCGCTTCTGCAAACGTTTCTGCACAAACCGTATTGTATTTGGCAGAAGAGACCTCACTGCAAGCCTGAACTGTGGCTCTTCAAAGCCCGTTTTCTTTTGTCTTTAAAGTTGGTCTATGGCAGGCCAGCAATTAATTTTTTTTTATCACACCATCCTCACACGTCTGCCTGCATCACCCTTTTTAAATTTAACTACGCTGTCAGCGCTGCAGCTGTTTCCGAGGCCACACGCGCTCGCGGCTCCTGCCAGGTGCACGTATGAATAAAAAGGTCGTGGGTTTGCGCGAGGATTAGGCTTTGACTCAGCTGTTTGCATGCTCGCACACATGCACGCTCCGTCCGTCCGTCCGTCAGTTCGTGCACGCGATCTAGACAGGTGAGGAGCTGAATATTGGAAACAACTCAGGGAAAACTCACACAGAGCCATCGGCAAAGATGTGCAGTCTCTGTCGTTTAAAAGAAGCGTTTACAACAAGCCTCCAAGCAGCCCTTGCATCAGTAAAATTACTTGTACAGAAACGTAAAGGCAGAACGGCTCAGACCCTGGGAGCCTGGCCCGGCTCGCTCGAGCTCCACCTTACGAACCTCACTAACTCGAGGCCTTCTGTACCTGCCGTGATGGACGCTGATGACTATTTTAAGAGCTTCTCAGGCTTGTGCTTCTGTTATAACCCATGAGAGGCTTCTAATCTATTTCTGTAAATTAGACATCATTCCCCTTCTGGCTCCCTTACCAAATGGGCAAAATAATCAATAATTTACTCAGGCTCTACCTTCCCATTAGAGTGCACCAGGACTACGATTTAAATATATTCCTGTTAGAGTAAAACAAGTAGATATCCTAAACTCTCATGGAATTGCCCGCTTGTGTACGTGGCAGCACCTCCTACTACCCAAAGTAGTTTTGTTTCCTCAACTATTAAATCTAGGACAAAACACTGCACTTTTATTCTATAATAAGAATATAGCCAAAAAGCAGCTGACTTGTTTCACAGCCTCTGTTCTCACAGACCAGGACACAGTGTGAAGAATTAACCCCCGGCATGAGCCCTTCCCATGGTACAAGTCATCAAGAGAAGCCAGGTCTCTTCCAGGCTCTTATTTTAGAGCCTGCAAATGGGATCTTGACGAAGGGGAGACGCCGTGTGCCCTCGTCCCCGTCCCACAGCCCTCGCCATACACTGCATCGCCCCGATTACGGGTTCTCCTTCCACTTCCTTCGTAGCATGGTCTGAGGGATCTGCAAGGTGTAGTTTAATTAGGAAGAAAAGAGCTAGTTACTGTGAAATTTTCCTGCCTAATACAGGAATTTGCCTGGCCCTTGTTGCTCCTAATGCTAAAAAGCAACCAAAAAGCAACAGCTTTGTCTGTGAATTTCCAGACTAGAGGTTGCATTTTCCGATTTCCTCCTTTCCCTCTGTTTAACCCCTCAGTGGCATCAACTCTGGGTATCAGCAGCATCCAGCAGCCCAGGAAGAGCACATGGCAACCACACATATCCTGTTAATGACTTCATTTCTTCCACTAGCACTGGAGAAACAAAAACAACCCCAAATCCCCAGCCCTGCATAATTGTGGCCCTGTTATTCATGTTTCTTAAATTGTTCTCCTTCATGAATTTTAATGCGCGGTCCATTTTCTTTCCATAATCCTACATTAGGCTGGAAGCCTTTATAATAAGGCTGAACATTTGCTCTCCTTTGCTCTTTATTCCCTGCAGCATCTTAGCTGCCGTGCGCTAGGCTCCTGCGTCCCTAGACATTGCCTTCATCTCTGCTGCCCCGGCAGCCGGCCTCAGCCAATACCAAAGCGCTTTCTTATTAGGTACTCGCGTTTTGTGCGTCCACGACAAAAGGGACAGGGCCATTGAATAGACACCCTACAAACAACGGCGCATTTGCTTTGTCCACGATTTGCTAATCCATTAGCACGGGTATCAGTTGCACAGCGTTTGGGGTGACACCTGTCTCTGAATCTCTGCCCCAGCACTTTTGCAAATCTCTTCTTCCTTCCAGAACACTTTCCGCAGGGGCTTGATCATGTCAGGAACAGGTGAAAGCCCTTCCCAAGGAACTGCAGAATTCCCATTTTGCTATCGTCGCTTAGCAGTGAGTGACACCCAGGGGCCCAACGCTGTCGTTGGTACAGCACCGTAGAGCCGAAGACGCTTAACAGCCATACCGCGAACGGCGTTTCCGTCCGAGTGCCAGACGGAACCATGAGAAACTCCAACCCGACTTCCTGCAAAACACAATTTCAGCCTGTTATTCACTATCAAGTTCAGTAATTTGTGTTCAGCTGAAGCAATTCCAAGTGGATATGTAGACGCAATTGGAAAAGAGGAAGAGTCCATGGCTGCCTTTGTGAGCTGTCCCGGTGCAATCAGTCTGCACCAGTTCTGTCTCAAGGAGTGAGAGTCTACATCAAATTGGAGCAAGATGCGTTTCGAGTGCTCTTTTTGTGTAAACTGCTAAGAATATATCAAGTCCTGCCCCTCCATGTGTCTCATAGAACCTTTATTAGATGAAAAAGGAACATTGTACAGTTTTCAGCTATAAAGTTCTAAAAATATGGGAACTTTGACGTATCAAACGCATGGTAAGGACCTTTCTGGTCCTGTCGACAAGTATTCCCAGTTGCCACTAACTTCTTCACATCACTTGCAGAACCAGCAGTAATATTTCTTTCCCTCTGCATACAAAATATGCATAGTTTTTTAGGGATACTTTGGTCTGGTGTACTTCAGTA